CACAGCAAACCACCACCACCACCACAACCAGCACCATGGCCACAACCACCAACACCACAACCCACCACCACCACAACCACTACCACCACCACAACCACCACGACAAACCACCACACCACCACCGCCACAACCACCACCACCACCACAACAACCACCAACACCACCACCAAAAAACACCGCACCACCACCACCACCACCGCCACCACCACCACCACCACAACCTGCCACCCTAACCACCACAACAACCACCACCACCACCACCAACCACCACACCACCACCATCACCACCACCACCACAACCACCACCACCACCACCACCACAGCCCATCACCACCAGCACCTCAGAGAGGCCCCAAGAGACGCCCAAGAGGCGCCCAGGAGGCTTTAGACGTGCCCTTCAGAGACCCCCGAAAGCCCTCCGACGAGACCCCAAGAGGCATCCATTAGGACTCTGACCCAAAACCAAGGCACTGTGGCGGAGCGTCGTCGTCAATGTCATCGCCGTCGTCCTCGTCGACGCTCCCCGCCCCCGCCGCCCGCCGCCGCAGGCGCCGGCGCCGGCCCAGAAAAGGAAGTCGTCGTCTTCATCGACGCTCCCCGCCGCCGCCGCCAGCCGCCGCCGACGCCAGCGCCGGCCCGAACGAGAAGAGGGAGAGAGGAGAAGTAGGGGAGGGGGAGGGAGGGGGTGCTCGAACCCACCACCCCCCGCCTCCGTCACGGACGGGATGGGGAGGGGAGGGGGGAATTCGACCCCCCCCCCTCCATCCAGGAGGGGGTGGGGTCTGGTTCCACCACCCCCCCCTGGAAGCGACCACAGAACGCGCTCTTTCTCAGCTTAGGACCGTTGGAAGGAGGAGGAGGAGGAGGAGGAGGAGGAGGAGGAGGAGGAGGATAATGCTGAATGGAGGGTACTGGAGCAGCAATATACTACTTGGACGCGAGCACAGGGTCCGATTTCTGTGATCAGGTCGTCGCTCCAGCGAGTTGGCTGGCGCATGTTATCCTCAACGGTTCTGATGGACGACCACGGTGCTAGCTGGTCTTTGATGAGGGCACCGCCCATGCTGCTTCGTGATCCGCTTAGGGCTGGCATACAAAGATGGCAGATAGCGCGCAGCGTTGCTCACCATCCACAAGCTGATGAGTCCACGGTGCTGTGGGCCAAAGGTCTTAGAACATGCATGGGAGGATCAAGGGCTACGTTGGTCAACTCTAAAGCGGTTGGGGCTGCGCAGGCGTTATGATTTGGATCATTCTGGACCAAAACCCAGCTGTTTGATCACAAGAAGGTGGTTGGTACGGTGTGCCGAGGTTGTCGTGGAGAAGACAAAACCGTTGGTCACGCTTGCTTCAAGCGTGATGCGGTCAATAAATGGTTGGCTGAAGGCGAAGAAGAGCATCCAAGACCCGCAACTACCAGGTGCGACTGAGTACGCGTCGGACGTCCCGAAGGTACACTTCTGGGGTGGTTGGAGCAGCTCGCCTGAGGGTTGGCCAAGTCAAGTTCTTCAGATCGGCTATACCTTCGTGTATCCCTGAGTTGAGGCGCTGCGGATGGGCGCGCGCACAGCTGACAGCGGAAGACTACCATGCGATGGCTGTAATTGGGAGCCTTCCTGGGGTACAGCAAACGATTGGGGCAGCGGAGCGTCATTGCGTAATTCAGGCTATACGGCATTGTCCTGGTTTGGAGTTGATGGTTACCGATCGGCTGACACTGGTGTCGGAAGGCTCCAGATGGCAGGTTGCAGACAATATGGCGGGTGCGCGACACGCAGGAAAATGGCGGGCCATGCAAGCCGAAGCTCAGCAAGAAAAATCCAAAGCCGCCTAAGTTTCCTTGGTGCCCTTCGCATGTTGATTTGGACGAAGTTGCGGCGGGTCTGGCACCCCACGATGCTAACTACGATTGGGTGGTGGGCAACTCTTGGGCAGATTACTTCGCAAAGTTTGGAGCTCGTGATATTGGTGATGCTGAAGGTTACTGCGACTGGTTCAAGTGCGCACCCTCGCAAGCTAAGGTGGTGGCCAAGTATCCTGGGAGGGCGTTATGTCGTCTTTCCCAGCAACAGCTGTGGGACAGAGAGGCGCGCGCGGGCGTATTGGTACGGGTGTATGCACCTCAAGTCAAGTTATTAGAGCACGAACTCTGGTGGTCTTATGTTTTGCAGGAGTGGAGGTGCAGAGCGCGTGGGGCTATGGCACGTACCAGTACTCATCTCAACAATCTCTGCTGGTGGTCGCGGAAGCATGGCGAGCCATCGCAGCTACAGCGGCTGCGGGTCGATATCTTCTTCGGCACGGGCACAGGCCTGTCGTTTTCAGGTCATGCGCGGTGAGGCGCGTCCGATCGCAGAGTCGGGGGCTTATGAGGATGCCGGGGTGCCGCCCGAGGTTGCAGTGGTCGACTCCACGGCGGCGACACAGCTGGTCGCCCGCAGGCTTTTTCTCCTGCGCCAAGGCATACTCTGCAGTGGGATGGTCCCGCTTGCATTTGTACGAGGTGCGCGCGTTCGAGCAAGTGTGTCACGCTGAGGGTCCTCGAGCTCCAAGGAAGTTTGTCCTGGTGCGGCTCAAGATCCTTCGACGCGCAATAGTGAGGTCAAGTTTATTCTACGTTTCGCAGGGTCAAGATCGATGGAGTTCCTCGCAGACGTCGAGGCACAGATGAAACGATAAGTTGAGAGCTAAGTCCTGGGGAAGCCCCTTAATGGGGAACGCCCCGGTCACAAGGTCGCAACGTTGAGCTGGAGGCCCGCGGAAGCCCCTTCGGGGGAACACCTCGGGCCAGGAGTTTGATGTGGGCCGATAGGTTTATCGGGCACGGTGCTTCTCCTGCCTTTGATATGGAGTTTGTTGTGGCGCTGGTCCTGAAGGCTCCAGGTCCTGTTATCATAAGATGTCTGCTACCGCTGGCATGATACATTGCGCGTTTCTAATCATTGGGCTTATAAGATCTCTTCAATTGCTTATTTCAAATTCGGCGACCTCGTGGCAGTCGTTGATACTGTCTGAGCATTCGTTGGTACTGTTGCTGGTGATCCTGAGGGTGCGTACTGGCATTCTTGCATGGGCGTACCTCATGTCCGGCGGCTTCGTCATTTCGATTGGAGCTGTCTGGAGTGTCTGCGCTTGATTTCTGGTTGGTGATCATTGGTCATTGGCTGTCTTGGCTTGATGAGAAACGGCTTCGGCGAGGTCGCATCGGCCCTCTAAGGCCGCCTCGGCGCGGGCAGGGGTTCGCGCGGTGGAGGAGTCCGAGCGGCGTCCGCTGGCCTCGGCGGGCGGCCGTCCACAGGAGCAGTTGGAGCATTAGGAGGGGGAGGAGAGGGGGGAGGAGGAGGAGGAGGAGGAGGAGGAGGAGAAGGAGGAGGAGGAGGAGGAGGGGGAGGAGGAGAGCCGGCAGCCCTGGAGTTGTGGTCTCCCTAGTCCTCCTCCTCCTCCTCCTCCTCCTCCTCCCTTCCTCCCTCAACCTCCTCCTCCTCCTCATCCTCATCCTCCTCATCATCATCATCATCATCATCATCATCATCATCATCATCATCATGCAGCAGCATCATCAGCATCATCATCATCATCATATCATCATCATCATCATCATCGTCATCGTCGTCGGCATCATCATCAGCATCAGCATCATCATCATCCTCATCAGCATCTCATCATCAGCATCAGCATCCAGCACATCAGCACCATCAGCATCATCATCATCATCATTCATCATCAGGCAGCAGCATCATCATCACCATCATCATCATCCCCATCCTCATCCTCATCCTTCTCCTCCTGCCCATCCTCCTCTCCTCCTTTTCCTCCTCCCCTCCTCCTCCTCCTCTCCCCTCCTCCTCCTCCTTCCTCCTCCTCCTCCTCCTCCTCCTCCCTCTTCCTCTTCCTCCTCCTCCTCCTCCTCCTCCTCCTCCTCCTCCTCCCTCCTCGCCTCCTCCTCGTCCTCCTCGCCTCCTCCTCGTCCTCCTCGTCCTCCTGGCGCCGACGCTGCGAGGCGCTCGAGCCTCCAGCAGAGGCGCCGCCATCGCTCCCTCCCCCTCGAGTTCGGCTCGGGATCGGCCATGTGGCAGCCCACGCGACACTGATCCTGGGTCGGGCCGCCCAGTCGAGCTGTCGCAGAGGGGAGCCGTCACAGTGCTCGGTCGATCGCGCCCTCCCCCCCTCCTCCCCCTCGAAAGCCGCGGAGGAGTGGCAGGCTCCGATCGCCTGGGCTCGCGCTCCGTGGCTCCATCGAGCCTTCCTGGGGGGGGCTGCGGGGGCCATCGTTGCTCACTCTCTCTCTCTCTCTCTCTCTTTATCTCTGTCGCTATATCTCTCTGTCTATATCTATCTCTCTCTCTCTCTCTCTCTCTCTCCCTTTCTCTCTCATCGGCTGGGCTGGGCAAAGTTCGGTTGACTGCGCCGCTCGGGACCCGCGGCAGACCGACCTGCTCCTTCGTCGAGGTGGCCGAATCTCGAGGCCGGCGGCAGGCGACAGACGGCAGACGCCACGGCCGGGGCCCGCGCCGCCCCTGGGACCAGGGCCTCGCGCAGCGCACCCGGGGCCCCGTCCAGGAGTTGTGGTCTCCCCAGCTCATCATGTGGACCTCGGGTGGAGGAGGAGGAGGAGGAGGAGGAGGAGGAGGAGGAAAAAGAGGAGGAGGACGACGACGAGGAGAACGAGGGAGGAGGAAAATAAGGAGGAGAGGAGGATGGGGAGGAGGAGGAGGAGGAGGAAGAGGAGGAGGAGGAGGAAGAGGAGGAGGAAGAGGGAGGAGGCGGGGGGGAGGAGGAGGAGGAGGAGGAGGAGGAGGAGGAGGAGGAGGAGGAGGAGGAGGAGGAGGAGGAGGAGGAGGAGGAGGAGGAGGAGGAGGAGGAGGAGGAGGAGGGGGAGCACTGAGCACGGAGGCCGAGGGACGCAATGTCCCGCCACGGCCGCCGCCGCACCGCGCTCAGGGCACGACGCGGGGCGACCCTCCCTTAGCGTGGGCTGGAATCTGGGTTTTACCCCAAGCTCAGCCCACGCCGACCTTGTCGTCGATGGCCTTCTGGCGCACCGTCGGGCCGCGCTTGGCCCAGCAGTTGATGCAGAAGTGCCACTCGCAGTCGGCGCACTCCGCGATGCAGTTGACGACGGCGTCGCCAACCACGAAGTACTCGCCCGCCTCGAGGCACAGCTGGCAGTCCCACTCCTCGTGCTGCTCCAGCGGCACGATCATGGCGGCCAGCCTGTGCCCCTCTCAGCATTGGGAGAAGCGCATGGCCGTGACGACGGCCTCCCGCCGCACCCCGTAGAGCTGCCGCAGCGCAGCCCCGTCGTTGGACGCGCACGCCTTCTCCCAGTCGTCTGCCGAGAGCCAGTCCAGCGAGCTGCTGGCAACCATCTCCTCGATGATGCCCAGCTCCACGTCGACCCCGTCAGCCCTCGCGTGCACCAGGGCCACGTCGGCGATGGTTTTCTGGTGCACCTCCTCTGCCTTCTTGGCCTCCGCGATGGCGGCGGCCAGCAGGTCCTCGAGGTCGGTGAGGCGGTCGGCGGCAGCAGAAAGCTCGTCGCACAGCGCCTGATCCACCTCGGTGCCGATGCACTGCGCGGTGGCGATCGCAAGCGCGGCCGTGTTCAGCCGCTCGGTGGCGCCAAGGAGGAGGCCCTCCAGCTCGACGACCCTGTCCTTGACATCCAGCGGCTCCAGCACCGTCATCTCATCGGCCAGCGGCGCCTGCGGGACCGTCTCGGCCCCCAGGCTCTGGCCCTCGATGGTGTCGAAGTGCACCTTCCCGGTGTACTCGCTCGGTGGCGTTGTGACGCACGGTCACGTTCACCTTGTACGTTGTCGTTGCCGACGTCGTCGCTCAGCGTCGCCGTCTCCAGCTGCACCTGCTCCACCTGGCGATTGGCGAGCCTTCAGCCCGCCGCCAAGTCGTCGCCGAAGGCCTGGGCCTCCGAAGAAGGGTCGCTCTTGTGCCACGCGCCTGGCGCCAACCCTTCGGCCAGCGGTGCGCGCGGCGGCTCGTCGGCAAGCAGCAAGTCTTGCTGCGCCTGCTGCGCGGCCCGCACCGTGTGGGCCATGCCCAGCGGCTGCCCGCTCGATGTCCTGGGCGGATGCGCTGGCAAACCCGCCAGGGGGCACCCGCTGGGAGTGCCAGGAAGCGTTGCGCCCTCCGCCACGCCCCTGGGACGCGTTCGCCTGAGGCGAGCCGCTGAAGGGCGGGCCTGGACGCCCGCCCGCGGTCCTGCCAGCTGCCCGGGCCACCAGCGCGAACGGCATCTCGAAGTCCCGCCTCGCACGCCTCCCGCCTCCTGCGGCGGGCGGCCCGGCGGGCGGCGGAGGCGCCGAGGGCGATGAACTCGGAGGCGCGCAACTGGCGCCCGGGGCGCCATCGTCCGGAAATGGCAATGGCGGAAAGCGGGAAGACACGGCTTGAGCCAAAATGGTTACGGAGGAAGAGGAGGAGGAGGCGGAGGAGGAGGAGGAGGAGGAGGAGGAGGGCCGCGGGCCGCCCTGGGCAGGAGGCCCCGTCTGCTGCGGGAGGCTGCGGCAGCTTCATGTCGTGACGACCCGTGCGCTGGCTTCTGGCACCGCGTGGGCCCTTCAGCCTCAGACGATCGCGACCCTCTGACAGCGAGGACCCTTGCTCTGTCGGCGGATTCCTCCGGCCACCGGCGGCGTTCAACATTGGACGTCCGCGCTGGGGTCGCCGCCGGGTCGACACAGCGCGAAGCTGCCGTGCGCGTCGGTCGGGGTAGGTAGGCGGAAGCATGAAGTGGAAGGGTACAGGGCAGTTTTAATCCATAGGATTTTAAACAAGGATCGGATTTAGAATACATGATTCATGTATGAATAAATGCATGCATGAACTCATCTTTGTTTTTGATACTAAATCCCTGCATGTTTAATACATGATCCGCACGAGGAGCATGTATTAAAAACGGCACTGTACCCCCGACCTTAGAGCGCAGGTGGGCAGGACCTGCGAGAGAGGGAGCAGGCAGGGCGCCCTGCGTTTGTTCGCGTGCTGTCCAGCACAGGAGTCAAGCCTGGCCTGGGCTCTCTGAGGAGAGCAGGAAGGAGGGAGAGACCACAGAACTGGAAAGCAAGAGAATCGAGAAGGAGACGAACAGGAGCGACGAGGAATGGCACCAGGAGAGCAAGGGCAAACGAGGCGGGGAGGACAGAAGAACAGGGAGAGAAAAGGAGGGCGGAGAAAGCACAAAAAGGAGGGAGGAGGGATGGCGAGACGGAAGGAGCTGGGAGAGGGAAAGTTGATGAAAAAGGAGAGAGGGTGGAAGCAGGAAGGGAAGAGAATGGAGGAAGCGGTGAAGGGGGCGGGGGAGAATATACGACACCTCATACGACAACGACGACGACAACGACGACGACGACGACGACGACGACAACGACGACGACGACGAGGGCGACGAGGGCAACCACGACGACGACGACGACGACGACGACGACGACGACAACGACGACGACGACGACGACGACGACGACGACGACGACGACGACGACGACGACGACGACGACGACGAGGGCGACGACGACGACGACGACGTCGACGACGACGACGACGACGACGACGACGACGACGACGACGGCGACGACGACGACGACGACGACGACGACGACGACGGCGACGACGGCTGCGACGGCGGCGGCGACGGCGGCGGCGACGTCGGCGGCCCCCCGCCCGGGCGCGGTCGGCCGGCGGGGGGCCTTCCTCTCGCCCGCCCAGTAGTAGGACAGGAACCCCGGCCGCCCGCACGCCGCCAGGGGGGAGCCGACCTCGGGGGCCGCGGGGGAGGAACTCCTCCTCCTCCTCCTCCTCCTCCTCCTCTCCTCCTCCTCCTCCTCCTCCTCCTCCTCCTCCCCCTCCTCCCTCCTCCTCCTCCTCCTCCTCCTCCTCCTCCTCTCCTCCCCCTCCTCCTCCTCCTCCTCCTCCTCCTCCTCCTCCTCCTCCTCCTGGGGGGGGGAGCCGACCTCGGAGGCCGCGGGGGGAGGAGGCGGAGGAGGGGGGGGGCCCAGACCTCCGAAAAAATCACGACGTTCCATCATTTTTGGCCTCTGTGGGCCCTTACCGGCCCTCGGGACCGTCAAAAAACGACTCAGGACGAAAAACCGGTCCTGGGGAATGGGTCCAGGCCTCTGGGGGTCGACGTCATGAAAAAATCATGACGTCGGGGGTCTGGGGGGGGGAGCTGCACACGAGGCACAGGGGTGAGTCGGAGGAGAAGGAGGAGGAGGAGGAGGACGACGACGAGAAGGAGGAGGGTGGAGGAATGCTATAAGAGGAGGAGAAGGAGGAGGAGGAAGAGGGGGAGGAGGAGGGCGAGGAGGACGAGGAGAACGAGGAGGAGGACGAGGAGGCGGACGTGGAGGAGGAGGAGGAGGAGGAGGAGGAGGAAGAGGAGGAGGAGGAGGAGGAGAGGCCGGGGGATTGTGGAGCCCCTCGTCGTTGTTATACGGTTTGTATCGAATGACACGCTCTTTCGCCCTAAACTTTGATTGTTGTTTGTCATTTTTTTTCGCCGTGATCCCCTCATACCAATACTTTCGCGTTATGTAGTTCTCTAGTGTTCTCTTTCTCTCTCTCTCTCTTTGTCTCTCTCTCTCTCTCTCTATCTATCTCTCTCTCTCTCTCTTTGTCTATCTCCTGCACCAGGCCAATGCATGCCGATGCGATACAAATCCATTCCCAACCAACACCAATGCCAATGCAATGCCAATGGGGGAATCCTTTCGTTTGGTGGATTTCAATAAGAATACTTTGTGGATGATGTCATTACGAATCCTTCTTCGGAGGATTTCAATAGCAATGCTTATGTGTAGGGCTTCGATAAGGATCCTTATGTGGAGGGTTTCACTCGGACTCCTTCCTGTGGGAGGGTTCAATCGGAGTCGTTCTTGTGGAGGGTTTCAGTAGGAGTCCGTCCGCGGAGGGAGCCATTAGGACTCGCCAGCGCAATGCCACCGAAATGCCAAAGCTTTGCCATCGCAATGCCCAACCAACGCCAAGGCGATCCCAATTCAATGTCAATGCAATGCCAATGGGGGGTCTCCTTTGTGGTTGATTCCAAAAGGAATCCTACCTGTGGAGGGTTTCGATTGGAATCCTTCCGTGGGTGGTTTCAGTATGAATCTTTTATGTGGGGGGCTTTCAAAAGGATCCCTTCTTGTGGAAGGTAAGAAATCCTTCTGTGATGGGAGCCATTCGAACTCGCCAGCGCAATGCCGAAGCAGTGCCAACGCGATGCCAAACCAATGCCAATGCAATGCCAATGGGGGGAATTGTTTGCGGTAGATTTCAATAGCAATCCTTCTAAGAACCCTTCTTCGGGGGATTTCAATCGGAAGCCTTATATGGAGGGCTTCGCATGGAACCCTTACGTTGAGGATTTCAATTTGAATCCTTCTTGTGGGGGGATTCGATAGGCATCCTTTTTGCGGGGGGTGTTCAATAGGAATCCTCATGTGAAGCGTTTGAGTACGACTCGCCAGCGCAATGCCAACGCAATGCCAACGCACTGCTAACGCACTGCCATCGCAAAGCCAACGCAATGCCAATGCGATGCCAAACCGTTGCCAAACCAATGCCAATGCAATCCCGATGGCTGGATTCCTGCCTTCCAACAGATTTCTCTCGGAATCCTTATGTGGATGATTTGGTTACGAATCCTTATTCGGAGGATTTCGATCGGAATCCTCCCGAGGAAGGTTTCGATTGGAATCTGTCTGTGGGGGGGGTTCGCTTTGAATCCTTCATGTGGGGGGCTTTCAAAAGGATCCCTTCTTGTGCAAGGTTTTCATAGGAATCCTTCTGTGGGGGGAGCCATTAGAACTCACCAGCGCAATGCCAACGCAACACCAAACCAATGCCAAAGCGATCCCAAATCAATGCCAATGCAATGCCAATGGGGGAAATCGTTGGTGGCCGGGTTCAAAAAGAATCCTTCTATGGAGGGCTTCAAATGGAATCCGCCCGTGAGGGAGTTCAATGTGAACCCTTCTTGTGGAATGCTTCAAATGGAATCCTTCTTGTGGGGGGTCAACAGGAATCATTCTGCGAAGGGAGGTGTTGGAACTCGCCAGTGGACCCTTCTTGTGGAATGCTTCAAATGGAATCCTTCTTGTGGGGGGTTCAACAGGAATCATTATGCGAAGGGAGGTGTTGGAACTCGCCAGCGCAATGCCAGCGCAATGCCAACGCAGTGCCACACCAATGCCGAAGCGATCCCAACCCAATGCCAATGCACTGCCAATGGGGGAAATCCTTTGTGGTAGATTTCAATAGGAATCCTTCTGTGGAGGGTTTCGCATGGAATCCTTCTGCGGGGGGTTTGTGTAGAGGGTTTCAATAGGAGTCCTTCTTGTAGAAAGTTTCGATCGGAATCCTTCTGTAGAGGGTTCCGTTAGGACTCACCAGCGCAACGCTTGCGAAACGCAAGCACACTAGCAACGCACTGCCAAGCGCAATGCCAACGCATTGCCAATGCGATGCCAAACCATTGCCAAACCAATGCCAATGCAATGCCAACGGGGGGGGGGTCTTTCTTTGCCGATGGCGGGATTCCTGTCTTCCAACAGATTTCACTCGGAATCCTTATGTGGATGATTTGGTTACGAATCCTTATTCGGAGGATTTCGATAAGAATCCTCCCGTGGAGGGTTTCGATTGGAATCTTTCTGTGGGGGGCTTCGCTTTGAATCCTCCATGTGGGGGCTTTCAAAAGGATCCCTTCTTGCGCAAGGTTTTCATAGGAATCCTTCTGTGGGGGGAGCCATTAGAACTCACCAGCGCAATGCTAACGTGATACCAACGCAATGCCAAACCAATGCCAAAGCGATCCCAATTCAATGCCAATGCAATGCCAGTGGGGGAAATCGTTTGTGGTCGGGCTCAAGAAAAATCCTTCCCTGGACCCTTCTTGTGGAATGCTTCAAATAGAATCCTTCGTGTGGGGGGTTCAACAGGAATCATTATGCGAAGGGAGGTGTTGGAACTCGCCAGCGCAATGCCAGCGCAATGCCAACGCAGTGCCAACGCAGTGCCACACCAATGCCAAAGCGA